GGGGGGGGTTGCAACCCCCAAAACCCACCCCTAGATCCGCCACTTCTAATTAAAAGCATATATTTTAAAACAAGTTATTTTAAAAAGAGTTTATTGCTATTTCATTATATCTGCGTTACATAATTTTATAGACTTGCTCTAAAACATATCCTGATTTAACCTGAGAAACAAAAGGTACAAAAAACTTATAAACTAAATGTGTTTTTTTTACTAAGTTATCATTTTACATTGGAATTGCATGTCTAGCATTTTATATGTAGTTAGCGAGCTGAGTATTGCCTATTTTAAGAAGAGGAAAATGTTTGGAAAAAATCCGTTCATATCATGGACTGGAGTCCGAGCGTGTGTTAAATCAATGAGCTCTGGTTATTCTGTGTTAGAGGGTGGTTCGGAAGAATTAATCTAGAAAGAAAGAACAAAAACTTGAATTGACAATAGGAACTAAATAAAACCTATCACTTAAGTGGAGAGGGGAAGGAGGGATGTGGCCTTTTTTGAAATGGAATGTGGATTTCATCAAACTAGTATGGTAGCACCGAATTGGCAAAAGAAAATCCTCTGGTTTAGACGAGAAATTTTCAAGGTCAAACGTTGAACTTTACATGAGCGAGCCTAATGACATAAAAAGGCCACATTCCGTATGTTTTTAATGCGTATATGTATGTGACCCATACATATACCAACTTCACCTACCAACACATCACTTCCAAAACTATTCCTATATATCCAACCATCCTTTCCACTTGCATAAGATACTCATACATGCACTCACTCCACCCACCAACACGTCACTTCAAAACCATGCCTATATATTCTACCACCCTCTCCACCGGTACGAGATACCCATACATGTACCTACCCAACCACCAACGCATCACTTCCAAAACCATGCCTTGCACGAGATACCCATACATGTACCCACTCCACCCACCAACACATCACTTCAAAACCATGCCTATATATTCTACCACCCTCTCTACTTGCTAAAAATACCCATACATGCACCTACTCCACCCTCCAACACATCAACCACCCTCTCCACTTGCACAAGATACCCATACATGTACCTACTCCACCCACCAACACAACCACCCTCTTCACTTGCAAAAGATACCCATACATGTACCTACTCCACCCACCAACACATCAACCACCCTCTTCACTTGCAAAAGATACCCAT